AAGTAAATAATATTTCTGTAGTTTTTTAATTTCAGCATTTAAGGGACATTATCCCTCTGCTAAGAAGGATAACTTCTTTTTTAAATTTTTCACAAATTCATCATAGATCTAATGTAAATTTGTAAATAAGAAAAACAAAACCCTGTATGTAACCTGCATTATACCACGTTGTATAAGGTTTTGTATTTGGTTTTAAAGTCATTGTTGTGTTCATGAAAATCAATATTAGAAATTTAAAATTTCCATAGTGAAATTTAGAGGAGAGGGTCAGGACCCCTTAAAGAGGAATTTCAGATGTAATATGTTGCATTGGGGTTTTTTTGTAATTGAAATCAAAATCTAAGAAAAAATGTATGTTTTTCTTATGTTGATGCATATTTTACAACCTCTGACATTGAAAAACGTCTAACATCGTGCTAGCAAATGTTGTTTTATTTACTAAATGAATATGATGACCCCCATTTTTCTTTATATCATTATTATCAGTATACTTAAATGTACAATATGTATGAATTTAAAAAAAAATAAATTCGTCAAACTTTTTTTATTGACTTTTTAATGCGTAAATTGTATAAATTATGCGAAAACAATGTACATTTGGTTAGATAAATGATAATTTGAAAAATGATATTCTGTTTGTGTTTTTTCTTATATTCAATCAATATCTGAATTCAACATCTTGTTTGTAGTGTATACTGACTTGTATGATAAAATGAAAAAGTTAGAACTCTGATAAATATATAAAAAGTAGTATATTTTTAAGATAGTGTGTAATTGAAAAATGGTCAGAATTTCACTCAATAATTGATTAACGGTCAGTTTTAAAAATTCTTCACAACAAAAAAACTAATCTGATAACCATACCTTTTCTTTTTATATTTGCATAAAGCATACTCTAAGGAAGGAAATATGTAAAAAAGAAAAAAAATAAATTCGGAAAAAAAATTATAGAAATCGTCTTTAAATGAGTAAAAATTAAACTTGCCCCAGCACTTTCTATGTACTATAGATCACGATGAATTGATCTATGTAACAAACTTTGCACAATATTTTTCTTTTGCACTTGTGCCGAAGTGATTTTTGTGCAACAATTAGGAATATCACAAATCTCCGTCACGTGATCAACACAGTCAAGTGACATCACGGAAATGCTTTAAAATAAAACAGGATTAAACTATCATCTCAAGTTGTCTGCAAACATTACAAATTAAAATTAAAATCTAGCTCGGAATAAAATGTATATTTTCAAAGCATTTTAAGCCTTCGGACAACCTTATCATAACTGCGTAACTTGACTTCTTATTTTATAAACCTCAGGATCGGGCTACCTTAATACTGAAATACCTTTAACTGCACATTTTCAAACATCGACACATTATCATAATTTAGGGTTCAGTTTACAATTATGAATTAATATTTTAATATACATGCTTTATTTACTTCTTCAGGAAATAGAAACATTCTTTGGGGAGTTTTGGAAAGCTGTACCAGACGAGGACAGAGATTGGTTAAGTGAGTCTCTGAATGATCGGGAATACTCTGTGGGTCTAGAGGAACTTAATGAAAACACTAAGGCAATGCTAGACTCAATGAAAAACTCTATAGTGGAATTATTTACGGATGAGAATGCTACAAAAATTGAATTGCCATCCTCATGGGCTCTAATGGAACACTTATTATATGAAGGAGCCTGGAAGGTTTTGTCCCTGAGTGAAATTTGGAAGCTCAACGCATCTCTTCCCGATGAATACCAAATCAAAAGTGACGAGGAAATGTCTGAATTTTTAAAATGTTTCCATGATAATGGTCTTCTTTTGAATTTTGGAGAAACAGAATTGAGGGAACATGTTATACTTGATATTCAGTGGCTTGCTAATGCTTTCAGCAAGGTAATTGCCGATGAAAACCACATCAATAAAGATTGTAAAAGGAAATTAGTTAAAGAGTGGAAATCCTTCAACAAAACGGGGGAACTTAAAAATAAAGTGATAGATGCTTTGTGGAAAGATGAACCCTCTTACTCGAAACACAAAAGTGAAATTATGCCGTACATGGAGAAACTTCAAATGCTGGTACCTTTGAATTCATTTGAGGCTGTATCAGAAGGTGGCATGTCATGGTATGTCCCATGTATGAACAAAAAGCAGTTTAAAGCTGACTTTTTTGAAGATAAGTGGGAATGCTCATCCATTTTGTGCTATCGATTCAATTCCTTTGCCATGTTTGTGTTCTACAGACTGGTAGCATACTGCATAAGTTTTCTAAGATGGAGTGTTGCAAAAGATGAAGATAATGAAGGAAGTCCATGTCTTTATCAAACGGCGGCAGTGTTTGATCATAATGAACACACTGTTGTTGTTGGCATATGTAATGACGATATTCAGTTGCAAGTGCTGAGAATCAAACCGTTGACAATAGACAAAGAAGTATCAAATGAAATTGGAGACTCCATTGATAAAGCAATAGAAAAATTGACAGAAACATTTATTGGCACAAAGATATTCCTCAGAGGATTCAAATGTAAAAATATTATTTGTGATGAGAGAGATCTATCTTTCACCCTTGCAAGTGAGCTGTCCAAAATCAAAGCTGAAGAAACACAGTGCAAGTGTCAACTTAAGAAGAAACATATGATAAATGTACAGATGACAGTGAGTTTTTGGGAAAAGGTAAATAATGTTTATCTCATACGTGTTGGTGATACAAGCCGTTTGATAAACTTGTGCTTTATCAACGGGTAGATGCTTTATCAATAGCACTTCCGGTTTTGACACGATCCCCGCTTCAAGATTTTATTTTATTGAAACTTTTATTTGTGAAAATTATTGCCCTAATAAAATGAATGATAAAGAGTAGTAATATCGTTAAAAGCAAGAAAAAGACTGGTATATGTCAAAGAAGTGTCTTATTTTATCAAGGAACCCGTTGGCTAGTTGAAGACAGATGTTAACACCCTCCCCCCCTTAAATCGTTTTCGGAGAAAGTAAAGCCTACCAGTTAACTTGTTGTTATGAGACTCCTTTGACATCTTTAACAATGCTTTCTTATATTGTACTACGTATGCCTACCTAGTAATCTAAGTGTAACTTACCATGGATCAGCAAACAATCTAGACAAAGTCTAGGCCCCTAGCCTTGCCTAGCACGATTTGTACTGCCATCGTAAAAAGAGTTGATTTTCACGATCCTCATAATCCTAACAACTGTCAGTCAGAAGTTCGTTTGATGTACAGCTCCAACAATTGTCACATGATGTTTTCAATGACACAGATAGCAAATATTCTAAATTTTGAACTCGATCTACTTTCTCTCGACGCATGTAAACATCAACGGTGCTACGTCATCAAGTTATACGTCATCAATTTGATTTTGGCAGTCATTCATGTAGTTTCGCAGGGGAAGTCTCAAAGTTTTATTAAGATTAAAGTCGTATGAGATAAATAGAACATCTATAATTGTGTGATTTGATATTGGCTTTATCCAACTCGTTGAAATGGTGTATATTCGCTCGGCAAGCCTCGCGAATATATACACCATTTCAACTCGTTGGATAAAGCCAATATCAAATCACACAATATAGATATCCTCTATTTATTAACTAAATTTATCCTTAAGTTAAATAAAAAGTATGTAGAATCTTCTTGTTCATCTATCATCTTGTTCCTACAATTTTCTCCAAACAAAAGCTAAGTGATGGATATTATGTTTGGTTTTCTTTTATTTATTTACATGACCTAGAACTAATAAGATCCATTTCACCTAAAAGTTGCAGGATGTGATAAAAAATGTTATATTTGTAAAAATCCCTTTAATCTCACAAATAGAATCATGACGATCTTAAATTTAACTTACTGAAAAAAAAAATATTATTAACTTAATTTGTTTTAATAAAATCTGTGTACAATTTTGATATTTATACTTCTGTATGTATCTGCTAAATTTACGTATTCAATATGTACAAGAAAGGTTAATTTTATTTCAGGTAAAAATGAGTGTTCCTAAAACTCCAGTGGCCTCCGGTGGACATGACCTTGAGGGACGATCGAGATTCGCAAAACTTGGAATGGCAACAAACGATGTCTTAAATCAGGCATACAGAGATATACTAGAGATGGAAGTGCCTCCATCCGATATTGAAAAGAAAGCTAAAGCATCAGCGGTTTACAAAAGATTGCGCCCAGAGCAAGAACAACTCTTGCTAGATGCTAAGCATTCAGGATATAAAAGCTTTGACATTTCTTTAACATACACATTAATCCGAAACATTTGTTCAAAGATCCCCAAGCCAACAAAAGGAAGGTGGGGAGAAGAGCCAGCAGCAGGAGAGGTGACAGTGGGTGATGACATCGAGAGAATTAGGTCAATACGAAACAGTTTGACTGCACATGTGAGTACAGCCTCCACCCCTCAGACAGAATTCGATGATACCTGGACAACGATGTCTGATATCTGCCAAAGATTGGAAACCTTCACTAGGAAGAAGTACTCAGATAACCTGAAGAGTATTTATAAACTGGCTTTAAAAGATGAAGATGCTATGTTGAAGAAAGTCATGTCAATTATGCAAAAATTAATTTCAGATATGCAAGAATTAACTCAGATGTGAAAAAATTAAAGCAAAATTGATGCCGTACAGGCAGTGCTGCCGAAATTAAATTTTTAATGTATCGAACATGCATGTATGCAGAGTGACTAGATGAAAAATCAAAATTTTAGAAAGCGGCAGGGACCATTTGAGAGGAGATGGGCGAGCAATAGGTGCAGTCATTTAAAAAAAATACCCACAATGATTTTGGATTCATAACCCTTCAATCAATATTCAGTATCGTATAAGTGGAATTTTTAGCAAGACGCAAATTTAGCGATTTGTCCTTAAGAATTGGTATTTTATTTTTAGCGAGATGTAATTTTAGTGATTGTAAAAAGTTATTTTTAGAAGCTATTGCAAATAAGCGCAATTAATTTTTAGCGATACTGAGTATTCAATTTTAGCTATCTTTAAACCCTTGGTAATAATGCCAAAATTAAATCCTCGCTAGATGACTGCTCATGAGGTATATGTTTTGTATTCCTTTTGGATAACTGATTTATTGAGTTTATATAGTTTTTCATCTGTAGACAGCCTTCAGAATCGCGCACTAAAGGTATTGTTATAGGATTAAACAGGATTTACTTCCCCTGTGACTTTAAATGACGCTTTTAAATGGCTCCCAAATATAGAATTAATGATTAAATATGTTCTGGATGGGGAACTGTTTGATCATGATGGATAAGGACGGACTTACCAAAAAGCATTCCACTGGGATTACAATAATTATGGTGCTCAAAACATTGAACCTAATGTGAGAAACTGGACATTTTATGTGCTTCTTATCCAGCAATTGCTAGAAATTGAAGAAATTGAAAGGAGGCTATGCAAATAAACCGAGAAATATGGAAAGAAGGCTTACCAAAATAGAGAACAGATCTATATAACATTTTTAACGAAACATGAGATTGGCGTCCAACTCTCAGACAAAATTCAATGACAGTGGGCCTTGTGCATATGAATTCTGTGCAGTCGCTATTTTTATGGAATATCACCCGCAGTCAAGCAATGTTACCGTTGCTACGTTGGAGATAATGGCTTCATCATTGATCGGATAATAGTGCTTTTAACAAATGTATAGCATTTAATCAAAATCAATTAATTTACATGAAAGTATAATGTTATAGAATTGTTAAAATCCAAACAGGTTTAGAGACAATCAAATGAAATGTCCAAGAAGTAAAACAGTAATCAACCGTAATAAAGGAGCTACAGATTAGGAGCTTGTAGGTTATTGTGTAGAATATTAAAGAATTGTATGTTTCACTTAATCTTATAAGAATGGAGAGTGCTGGAGAGTTCATTTTATGTGAATGTGTATCCTATACTGTTTGTTCCTATTTTAGAGTGAATGTGTATCCTATACTGCTTGTACCTATTTCAGAGTCGCTGCAAAAGTTCAAATTTGTATGGAAGTGTCGGACAAGAAGGGAATATGTTCATTCTCGATTGCATATTTTTAAAACACAGATTAGCGATCGACCTTTGTTGCTTGTGTTGATATGTTTATTTCATTTTGCTTTTGTTTTGTAAACTTAATATCCAGTGGGATCAAAGTATTACAAAATGTTACTTGTTTATTTGAATATACACGTATTTTATATTCTTATTAGTACACAGATTTGCGATCCTAATTTGTTGCTTGTGACAATATGTTTACTTCATTTTACTTATGTATTGTGTACTTTACATCCAACATTCTTCAACTAATTGACAGAATGTTTTATGATAGTACAAAAATATACACGGATATAATTACATGCCTCTTTGGGCCTCTACTGAAAACCTTGGAGCTTAAAATGTTGACAAGCTCACTGAAACGACAGTGAATAAGGACAGGGTCACTTTGTTGATCCATCTGTATGTGAATCAGCAATCAAATCAATATACTGAATATTTTTTTCCACCTGTTAGACTTAGATTTTTTTGGACTCACGGGAATAACAATGCCAGTATACTGTACCTGTCCATATACATCCATCAATTATTTTTCTAAAATCACAAATCTTCATATATTTATTAATTATACTTTAAGTGAATAGATACTAGACAAATTTTGACATATTCAGTAATTGCATTATGTACATAAATTTATATGTAGGCATATTGAGCAGTGAGGGATCTTTTTCGTTCTAGTGCCTTCTATAACACGGGACTTCGGTTTAGATACGGTCTCATTTAAAGGGCTAATCTCATCTGTATGACCAGTCTTTAAAGGAGCATAGACACAGTTCAGCTAAAAAAAATATTTAACCAAGGTCTATCTAATGATCATAAAAAATTTGAACTTCATTTGTTGAGATACAAGACAGATTTAGAGCTCCAAACCTTGGTTATGTAAACAGAGTTCGTGTCATGTTTTGTTTACATAGATTAATATACTAATATATGTTCGTTTAAGGGTCCTCCACACCATGTGACTTGTGACGTATATAGAGAAAGATACTTTTACTTCCGGTTTTATAGAATTTATGCATGAACGATTTGGCCTAGCACCGTTTGTACAGACCCTAAACCGTGCTACTATACCACTTGAACGGTACGGTTCGGTACGCTTTATGCACGGAACGGTACGCTTTGAGAACGGAACGGTTCGTTTTGTGAACGGTACGGTACGCTTTGTGCACGGAACGGTTCGCTTTGTGCACGGAACGGTACGCTTTGTGCACGGAACGGTTCGTTTTGTGCACGGAACGGTACGCTTTGTGGACGGTACGTTTCGTTTCTTGCACGGAACGGTTCGTTTTGTGGACGGTACGCTTTGGGAAACCGTATGCAAATGAAGTAGGCGGAGCCTGTAAGCTTTAATTTTTGATTGGCTGCTAAAACTTAATTCATTTTAAATGACTTTTGAAGTACTTAATGCACGTATATAATTATATTTCCGCTTTTAACAAATTAATTTCTTGGTTTCAATTTAAACATAAATTTACACTACAGCGGTGATGGAGAAAAATGAAAAAAAAAATAAAAGGAAGAAAATACATCATCCCACCGATGTCTTTGACATTATGTATAGATATGTATTTATATAGAACCCGTAAAGATTTCCGTGCTTATTTTTTACGTATGCTGAACCTTCATTTTAAAACGGAAAAAATAAATGAAATATTTTTTTCACTTTAAAATAAAGTTGTAAGATAATTAAAAGGAATTAATATATATCAGGTATAGGACTATAGGCCTATATACTTGTTCTATACATATAACATATATATACATATGTAACTTATTTTTGATTCATTGATCTATAGAAATAAATATGACTCTTCCTGCTTCATTTTTATTCCTAGTAATTAGATATGTACATTGTTTTTTTTTTAATTTTTAAAATAATAGATCTACCGTTCAAACGTTTGCTGCAGAAGAAAAATATCAGTAAACAAAATAAATACGAAAATCGGCAGCAGAAACATGAAATCAATACAATAATTTCCGAGCGCTTTCTCTTACAGAAAACATTCTTTTCACAGACAAGTATTTATGTTTTCATTAATCCTTTCAGTGTATTAAGTAATTATTTCAATAAGTTTTCTTTATTTTATTAAGTTATTCTATTCTTGTAGTCTGTAAAAACAATGTCGTGAATGAGAGAGAGAGGGGGATAGAGAGAGAGATGCAACCCTTTAATACATTATCTGTAAAAAAATAATAACTTGTATTTATTCTCATTCTTCGTTTATTTACATCGCTAAAGTCACAATTAATCAGTCTATGATTCTATTTAATCAACCCCTTTACAACTATTGTTCAATGAATAATCCGTTCTCTGTACATGCATGCTGCAGGCATGAAATTCTCGTGCATTACCTGTCAATCAAAATGGTATGACGCTAGGTGACACGGAAAGTCTGTTTACGCAAGAAGAATTTCTCCTGTTATTTGAAACATTCTTATGGTCAGTTCATAGTTCACACCTGTTTAAATAAAATATTGGGTCACAGCCGGAGGGGCGGGGGGGGGGGGTGCCCGTGTTTAACACACCTTTCAAATTATTTAGTTCTGACCATATCAAGTGTATTTATTCACTCAACTGACATCCAGCAAATTCATCTTCAAGGTTTCACCACAACACTGATTATAAATTTACTTCTTAAATTATTTTTTTCAGACAAAATTGAAGCATGTATCCCTAATTTATAATTTTCTTTTTTTTTTAAAGCACAATTTAAAGTTTCATAAAGTTGCATAAGTATCGCCTTCTCGAGGGGGGGGGGGGGGTAACAAGCATAACTCGAATGGCTTGAAAGAGGATTGATATTTTTTTAAATTTCATTTTATTTAGTAAATTATCTTTTTTCAGACACTAATAAGGACGTTTCCTGTAGATTTTTTTTTTATTATTTACAACAACGTCCGATTTTGCAGACTTCTAAAGAACTTTCGACCAGCTAATTCGTATTGCTTTCTACAAGGGGATCGGGATACAGTGTAACAAACCTTATAATATCTGTATTTTTTCGCAAACTTTTTTTTCATTTTTCATGAGATGTATTTCAGAATGAAGTAATATATATACTGCAGTTTGCACATTTTAGTTGCAAGAAATTCGGCTGGCGATTTTTGTATATGCAGCGTGAAAGTTTATCACAGTTTTATTAGTAAGATTATCATCTCTGTCAGTTCAGTAGAAATCTTCACGTTTACCGCATGTAATATTTTAATCCATATTTTATATGATTACAGATTTTCAGTGTAAGTAAAACTGCACAAATGATTCGCCTATAGTAAAAATCTTAACAGAATTAATGTGAGAGTCTATTACGGTTCTTTTTTAAATTTTTACATAAGAATGCATACTTACGACAAAAAGGATCTTGTATCGAATAAGATTTAATAATTTAAATGAGCAAAATTAAAATCAAAAATAGAGACAACTAGGGGATAAATTCATGAAAGCGTGTTCTTTCTTAGTGGTATTATAGTCTATTGAACCTATTTTTATGTCAAATATAATTATAGGATTATGAAACATGAATGTACTTGTACACAAAGAAAGAGGGTTTTTTTCTCCGGGCACGAGCACGATTATTTTGAATTTTGGGGCATCTTTTAATATTATTTTAAATATCTGTATAATTAAATTACGATTATTAAAATAAACTAATATTTCAAAAGAAAATTGATTTAATTTTCTGATATAAAGAAAATGAAAGACTTCAAAGACGCCGACATCGTTCGAGGTCCACACTGCCCCGTACGTGTTTTGCGGGAAAAAAAACTCCTGGCCTGTACTGTACGTTTGACCACAAACACAACCAGTTGATCTAATTTTTAGCAAATAAGAAATCGTCTCACACTCTGTCTAGTTGTTATAAAGTTGTAGTTTGCTTCGAATAGTTTCCTTATTTTTACAGTTGAAGGCCCAGACGCATGATATTTGATAATGGTGTTTCGAACAGGCAGACACAACCTCCGTCCTCCTTTCACAGTCGCCGTAGCGAGAAATAAACCAAAATGACTTATTTGGTCATTACACGATTCAAAAATCATTGGGGGGCGTGGTTTGCATAATTAACCAAAGAACGGTACGGTTCGTTTCTTGCACGGAACGGTACGCTTTGTGGACGGTACGGTACGCTTTGTGCACGGTACGGTTCGCTTTGAGAACGGTACGGTACGCTTTATGCACGGAACGGTACGCTTTGAGAACGGTACGGTACGCTTTCTGCACGAAACGGTTCGCTTTGTGCACGGAACGGTACGTTTTGTTCACGGTACGGTACGCTTTCTGCACGGAACGGTACGGTTCGTTTCTAAGGTGTAGTAGCACGGTTTAGGGTCTGTAAATAAAGAACACATGGTATGATCACGTTGTGACTTATGGAAAAGGATGTGCATTTTTTTTTAAATAAAAGGACAACAGACGTCTTGGATTACGTTACATAATAATTCGTAAACAACAGGTACCTATGGGTATGACGAGAAACGTTTAGGTTATCTATACTTTCAGGCTAATCAACCGAGTCTGTTTTGATGGATGAAATTTCGCCACACTAATTTGCCCGTTTCAATAATACAATAGCTCATTGTTGTTTATAAATATTGATAAAATATTAGTGTGCGTTTCTAGTTTTCCTCTTTTATATTTGTCCAGTTCAGAGGCCAGTAATTACTAAATATACATAGTATGGTGACGTATGTGGAGACTTGCCAAAGTTTTTGAGTCCCGGTGTAACCGTGAAAACTGTCGCTAGTGCTCAGTGTCGCTCTTAATAGAATATATAGGGAAAAGAGCGACACTGAGCACTGGCTTCTGCGCATGCCTAGGGATTTCGGTCGCTTCAAATCGAAGCGGTGTCCCACTGAATTTAATTCCATGGTAATAGTATCCAAAGTCGTAGATTTTTATGTTTTCTTTGTTTATTTTAATTTTAAAAGAAGGCAAGACAAATAAAATTTTAGAACTTTTCATTTATTTTTTTTTATCTCGTATAGAATTATTAAATGATCTTTTAATTTTCTATATTATAGAGAATAAACGGCTACACATTTAATCGCGGTAAATTGAACAGATAGTTGTATTGAAAAAAAGAAGAAAAAAACATGCTTCAGTCCCTCCGTCATTTCTTAATAGGTGTGAACCACGCCATGGGCGTTATCTCAGACAGGTGTCAAAAATTACCTGTATGTTAATAACTAACAAACACATCCCCCCCATGGTCGATTGATAATTTGATACCAATTAAAGGTGTGAACGGAGGTGAACCGAGAACTGAAGTCTAGTAACGAACCTTAAATATCTGTAATTTATCAAAATATAAGTTGAAAAAATATATATATATATATAAGTTCTATCATCCAGTTTTTATTTAACAGATAAATAACAAGAAACACGCATAATTATGAAGAATGAGCATCAGTGAAAAGTGTCGCTCTTCAAAATGGGAGTTTCCTATTTTCTCACACCTGACTTATATATCCTCTATAAAACAATTATATCGTCTGTAAAACAGGTATACAGTAAAATTTCAAGCCGGTCTTATTTGATATAGATGATTTAGGTATAAGTCAATAACTCTAGAGGAAAAAATCGTAGAAAATAATTATTTTGAAATACAGTATAATTTGTCCAATCCGGCTACCGCCGGTTCCATAAAATTTGGCCGGATTAGACAGAATCCGGAGTGCAGGAAAAATGCAGGAAAATATCAATTTCGAAAATTTTCGTTGTTTATTTAGAAGTACATCATATACATATCGTGAATAAAATTAAATGATGAAATCAATTACTATTTTAGAGTCTAGAAATTATAAAATAGTCTCACATGACTGACTATATTTTCTTATTTGTTCACGAAGTTTGAAAGTCGGGTGAAATGTTTCCTCAATCAAAATATACAGGCACGCATAATATAGGCCTACTAAGTATCAAGCGGACCGGGTTTCGCTTGTCAAAGACCTCATTCAATGTATTGACAGTAATGCACAATTATTTACGATTTGCTAATTATTATATTGAACTTTTAGTTTTATGTAAAAATTTACGTCTTCCCCC